CGGGGGCTGCGAGCTGCGCAACAGTGGCCAGTTTCGTGGGCTCCTTGGAGGCTGGGCGGAGTGCATGGCGCCCACACCGCGCGTGCCCATCTGGAACGTGGCGCCGTCCCGTCATTCAGCGCGCGGCGCTGTAGCATCATGAAGCGCAGTGCGCTGGAAGGTCCGACAGCGCACGGCGCTGTCCTCAGTGGCCCACTTCCCCCCCTCCTCAGGTGCCTCTCGCCCGCAGAAGCAGCAGGAGTGAACCGAGCAGATGTAGCGCACGGCGCTCTTACTCACACAAGTATTTCGCCCTCTTCCGTTTCCATCCTCCTGGTCGTCTTCCCCTTCTTCTTTTTCTCATCCTTCACTTTCTGTCCACCCTTGCCGTGCGACGCGCATAACATGGCTTGGCGAAGAATTTCAGAGTGCCGCATGCCTCGCATCGTGTTCTTTTGCATTGGGCGTTCATACAACTAGTGGCCTCGCGTGGAGAAGGGGTTGGGTACGTCTGGGGTAATTTCCCAACCCTCCTGTGTGTGTGTGTGTGTGTGCTTGCGCGCGCGCGCGCGCGTGTGTGTGTGTGTGTGTGTGTGTGTGTGTGTGTGTTTGTGTGTGTGTGTGTGTGTGTGTGTGTGTGGGTGGGTGGGTGGGTGGGTGGGTGTCTGCCGAGTCCTTGTTTTGAATCCGCATCGCCGCGCGTCCCTTCTCCTCCTTCCCCTCCTCTCCTCTTCCTCCTCATGTTTTTTTGTCTTTGTCATCAGCACCATCGTCGCCGTAATCGTCGTAGTCGTCGTCAACATCGTCGTCGCCATCACCACCATCAAGGTCCCAGTGGCTACGTCCGCATGGTGGCCCGCCGCATTTCGGCACACCCTCCACACGTGTCGTAGCCCCACCATGGGGGCTCCACCGAAGGTCCTAGCGGCTGCGTCCGCATCGTGTCCTGCCCCATTTCGGCACACCCCTCACACGTTTCGTGGCCCAATAAGGGGCTCCACCGAAGGTCCTAGCGGCTGCGTCCGCATCATGTCCTGCCCCATTTCGGCACACCCCTCACACGTGTCGTGGCCCACTCTCATTTCTCCTCGTGTCCCCTTCCCCCTCTCCCCTCTCTTCCCCGCTTACGCGCCCGTCTGCAGATGGCACAGCGTGGTGCCAGGGTGTACCTTCGGGAGCCTCGCCCTACGTACAAGGTTGTTGCGGAGTTTACCTACTGGAGCTTCGGCCACTCACGCAGACTGATTTGTTGTTCCCTTTCTCCGCCCTGCTCCCTCCCCCCCCTCTGTCCTTCCTCCTCCCCCCTCGTCCGTCGGACCGCCAGACCCCAGCCCAGAGCGAGGCAGGAGGCAGCCCCGAGGCGCGCGCAGTCTCCGCCAACCAGGCAACCCAGGACGAACCAGCGCCCCTAGCAGGCGCGGCCAACAAGGAGGACGCAGCCTATTGTTGGGCCACGGCGACCTCCCAAAGGAGGAAATGGCGGCCCCAGCTAAAGAACCGGCTACGGCGGTGCCTGCGGTCGCAGCCGAGGTGACCAGTGGCACATCCTCTCCAGCTGCGGGGTTTAGGATTGTCAGGACGCAGCAGTCATGTTGTGTCGCGGTGTTGATGTCCCAGTAATTGTGTGTTGGCACGGTTTAGGATTGTCAGGACGCATCAGTCATGCTGATTCGCAGGTTCTTGAAGTTGCATGACCAGTTTTCTTACACGATTGAGGGTTTTCAATGGGGCATTTCCCGCAATGGAATTCTACACTTGTAGGGGCCTATGAGGAGGGAACTAGCAGAGAGGGTTTATTGCAACAACGTTATTTTTGGGTTTGCACCAGCCCTCCTCCTCCTCTTCTATTTCTTTTCCTTCTGAGTAACTCCTCCCTGTCGCGCCCCCAGACGTGTAAGTAGGTCGTGCGGGGCGTTTCGCTTGAGATTTCCTTACAGTGTATGATCCTGAAACTTGACAATTGCGCCCGTTTCGAGGATGGAGGGCAGCAGGTCCAAAAATGGTGCTCTCCGCTTTAGCTTCGCGCATTTTATTTACAATTTTGCAGCTGAGGGCTTTGATTTTGTTTTTTTTTGTTGTTTCTTTTGATTTTTCTCTCTCACTCTCTCTGAAATGTGGCTTGCGCGTAGCGCAGCGCGCATTCGCTTGTACCAGTGCAGCAGCTTCAAGGATGGAGGGCGGTTTCTTTTCCCGGAAAGGGCGTAGACCCAGGGTTCTCTTTTAGCTTTTTACCCCCGGGTCTGACGGGAAGAGGGCCGGCGGATTTCTTTTGCGATAAATAACGAGTGGGAAGAGGGCCGGCGAATGACAAATTGAGGATGTCCCGAGCGAAACGCTTATTTCTCATAATTTGTTAAGGATGTCTCGAGCGAAACGCTTGTTTTGTATTATAGATTGTCCTCTCCTGGGGACCTGAATTTAGAGGATCTCTCAAGTGAAATGCTTGCTTTTACGTGCCCAGGTCTTGAGGACGTCTCGAGCGAGACGCTTGGTTTCACGCCTCCAGGTTGCCCAGACATATGTTTAGCATGAGGAGTTGTTGAGGATGCCTCGAACCAGAGGCTTGATTTCACGTGTCCAGGTCGCCCAGGCGGATGTCTAGCATGAGGATGTGTCGAGGAAGTCTCGATCGAGACGCTTGTTTGCACGTGTCCAGGTTGCCCAGGCGGATGTCTAGCATGAGGATGTGCTGATAACGTCTTGAGTGAAACGCGTGTTTTCACGTGTCCAGGTCGCCCATGCACAGCACAGCCCTCGGCACGGTACATCAACATCGATACCCTTAACATTGCAGCCTGGCATGTTGCCTGGCACGTTCCGCGGAGCGTCCCGTGGCGAGTCCCCCTGGCATGTCGCGCGGTGCACGTCCACTGGCACGTTCCGTAGCGCGTACCCTTGGCACGTCCCGCGGTGCGTCCCCATGGCACGTCCCCTGGCACGTCGCCTGGCGCGTCCCTTGGGACGTTCCGCGGCGCGTCTTCCTGGTATGTCCCCTCCGTCGATTAGTTCTGGGGCAGCTACCATCTGCTCAGGCAGCTCGAGCTTAAGATCCAGATCATTTCGGTCAGGACTCGGATGCAAAGAGGACTCGATCCACAACGCTATATAGAGCACATTCGCGGCATAGCACATCGCAGTTCAGCACGGCCCAGCACAGCACAGCCGTCGGCACGGTACATCAAGATCGATACACTCAATATTTCACCTTGGCACGTTCTTTGGCGCGTTCCGTGGCGAGTCCACCTGGCACGTCGCGCGGCGCGTCCCCTGGCACGTCCCGCGGCACGTCCATTGGCACGTTCCGTAGCGCGTACCCTTGGCACGTCCCGCGGTGCGTCCCCATGGCACGTCCCCTGGCACGTCGCTTGGCGCGTCCCTTGGGACGTTCCGCGGCGCGTCTTCCTGGTATGTCCCCTCCGTCGATTAGTTCTGGGGCAGCTACCATCTGCTCAGGCAGCTCGAGCTTAAGATCCAGATCAGTTCGGTCAGGACTCGGATGCAAAGAGGACTCGATCCACAACGCTATATAGAGCACAATTGCGGCATAGCGCATCGCAGTTCAGCACGGCGTAGCACAGCACAGCCCTCGGCACAGTACATCAAGATCGATACATTCAGCTTTGCATTTGCCCGTCGCCCAATCAGGTGTCTTTGAAACGTTGCCATATGCCTTTATTTCTATATTCCTTTCCGGGTTCCTGGGTCGATCATGTTTTAAATGTGGCTTGCGCCTGGCGCCACGCGCATTCGCTTGCAGCCTAAAACATCGTAGGTTTGAAGTCGCAGGCATGGTTTTTCGGTGCAGTGTATGTTTGTCAGGACGCACAAGTCGCGTTTATTCGCGGTGTTGAAGTTCCTGGAATGGTGTTTTGGCACGATGTCGGATTGTCAGGGCAGCAATCACGTTGATTCGCGGCGTTGGTGCCCCAGGACTTGTGATTCGGCATATTGAGGATTCTCAGGCGGTCGTCTGTCAACGGGGCACGTCCCGCAGTGGCAGTTGATTGCAGCATCGTCGACGTGTTTCGGGTTTGCTCTGCTCCTCCTCCTCCTCCTCCTCCTCCTCCTTCTCCGCTCTCCTCCTCCTCCTCCTCCTCCTCCTCCTTCTCCGCTCTCCTCCTGTCGGCGCCCGACGGCGCCTGCGCCTCTTCTCCACCAGGAGGCTGGGCCACGCCCGCGCTGGCGGCGCGCGGGGTCGGCACGACGAAGCGCCGCCGGCGGTGCCGTGGGCGCGCCGCGGGCTGCAGCAGGCGCGCCCGCTGCTGCTGCTCGCAGACAGACGGACGGGCAAAAAGACATATGGACAGACAGACAGGCAGGCAGGCAGACCCTCGGATCGCGGCCCCGGCCCCCGTTTCCCCTCCTCCTCCTCTTCCTCCTCTTCTTCCTCTTCCTTCTCCTCTTCCTCCTGCTCCTCCTGCTCCTGCTGCTGCTGCTGCTGCTGCTCCTCCTCCTCCTCCTCCTCCTCCTCCTCCTTATCTCCTCCTCCAGCTCCTCCAGCTCCTCCAGCTCCTCCTCCTCCTCCTCCTCCTCCTCCTCCTCCTCCTCCTCCTCCTCCTCCTCCTCCAGTGGCGCTACTCAGCATCGCGTGCGCCTCCGCAGCTGCGGAGCGAGTTCTTGGAGAACCTCTGCCCGCCTATTTTACTGGCCGAGCTCCTCGCTGGCCTGAAGGCGGTGATCGACCTCGACCAGTACCATGTGGCAGTCAGCGTGGCGGGTCGCAGTTCGACCTTCGACCGCGTAGCGCACGCGTCCAGCCATCGCTCCGTCGACCTCGTGCAGCGGCCCGCGGGCTTCTCCCTGGCGCCCGAGATCCAGGAGCGGATGCCCTTGGCCCGGTTCGTTCAGGACCGCGGGGAGGGTGGCCTGGCTGGCGAGCTCCAGGCGGGATCAGCCTTTTGCAGCATGTCCGCCAGTGTCCCCCCCCCTTCTCTCCCCCGCTTTGGGCGTCGAGGGTCCAGCGGGGGGTCGGCGCCCCGGATCTAGCCCGCGCGTTCTGGGTCCGTCTGCTCAAGGCCTTCGGTCTGGTTCGACGATCGGCGCGCGTTGCGGAGCGACCTGTCGGGGCGTCGTCTATCGGCGCGCCCGGGGGCGCGCGGCGCCCGCTCCGCGGTCGAGATGAATGGCGAACCAACGTCGCGCACCCATGCCCACAAGGGGGTCGGAGAGGGCTGTGGGTGCGCGTTGTCGGATGGGGGCGTTCCCCAGGGCCCGACAACCCGCGCCCGTGCTCATGGCCAGTCCCCCTCCCAACGGCCCCCCTATGGGCGTGGGCGTGTAATGTTCGTTCGTCAATGAAGAGGGGTCCGAAGAAGAGGCCCAACATGATCGCCAGGAGAGTTGACATTGAACTTGGGGATCCCCCGAGACCGCGCCCCCCTGTGATGGCGGAGGGCGCGGGGGGGGGGGGGGCCGGGAGACGAAGGGCTGGGGGGGAAGTGGCCGCGCCGCGCCCCAACCCCGAGCTGGGCGCGATACTGGAGCGCGAGGCGATTTCGGAGATCGCGCTGGACTTGCTCGCCTCGGGCCTGACGCAGCTGGCGGTGCGTATTTAGTGCTGGCGTCGACTGCCGCCCCGTGAGTTCTGGCACTTCCGTGCGCGCGCATATGGCCCCCTCGGCGACCGCGATGCCTGCGGCGTGCGACAAGGAAGGAGGGCCCGGCCACGTGTCCGCGCCCAGCCCGCGCCCGCTGGAGCAGCAACAACCGGCGCGGGATCTACCCCGAGTGCGTGGCACGCGACGTCGAGCTGGCCCGCGCCCCCCTCGCTCCGGCGGGGGCGGAGGAACGCGGGCGCGTCAGTATCGATCAGGATAAGGGAATCGCCGACCAGTGCAAGGACTCGTGCACGCCCCGGGTGAGTGAGGGCCTGGGGCGCCGGCGCGGATCCGTGGCGGGAGTCGCCGACGGCCCCGAGGCCCGCCCCTCCACCGACGGCGTCGGCGGCTGCCGAGGCCCTCAACCAGCGCCCCATCCTAGTGGCGCCGTGCGAGGGGGGCCGCGTTCTGGTCAGGCCGCCTCCGCCAGGGGCTCCGACGTCGAAGCCGGCGTCCAGGCGTCGGGCTCGAGGCCGATGGCCGTCGAAGAGATGCTGCGCGCGCTGGTGGGCGTCGCGGCGGTGGCCGAGGCTCTGCGCAGGTCCAGCGAGCTCACCTTCATTCGTTTTGCGCAGCATGATCGCCGACCAGAGGGCCTTGACCGAGACTGCGTTGACGGACCCGGCGAATTGGTCCGCCTTGATCAGCGAGGAGGACATCCTCATTATAGCCGCTTTGATTTGATGGAGGCACTCTCGTCCAGGATGTCCCCAGGCGCCCAGCTCCCGCCAGTGCACTTAAGTATGCCGCCGGCTGATCTCGGCGCGTCCTGAGATCCGGGCTGAGCTGGCCAGGCACGGAGGGAGTCCCAGTCAGCTCGCCTTCCGATGTTTTCCTCAAGGAACTTGGAGCTCACCTCCATCGAGTCCGTGGTCCAGGTCAGCTCCGCCAGAAATCCAGGGAGATCTTGGGCTTCTTAAGCGAGCCATCGGGGGTCCTCCTCTCTCCCCTCAGTGGGCCCTGGTGCACCCCAGTACGCTTTTCCAGCTTGGAGAGAAGCGTTTTTTCCGCTTTCTTGGGCATGGCTGCGTGCAGAGGTGAGCCGGACTCCCGTCTTCCCCCCTCCCCCATGTGGTCGGGAATCCTGGGCCTTGAGGGCTCCGTCCTCCTGTCTGGACTCTGGGCCATCACCGGGGCCGCCGAAATCTCGACAGCGCTCGAGGGCGCTCTGCAGTCCATTCTGCTGGTGACGTTCTGGCGTGAAAATGAGAAAGCTACACGAGGAGGACGAGGCAGGGTGAAAAACAGGAGGAGTGGAAAGCGTGACCACTGTGGAGGACCGGTTCACAGCGGCGGTCGAGATGGCCGTCTAGATGCCGCTGCCGCGACTCCGTCGGTGCCCGGGCGTGTTCGGCAAAATGCCGCCCAGACCCTAGATAGCACAATGCTCAGGCCTGGGCGCTGGGCTCTGAAGAAGCTCGCTCAACAGGCCGAGAATCGTAGGGATGAGGCTTTGGTGCTCGAAATGTTGGGCCCGACAACGGTGTTGGACGAGCTGCGACGACGGGGCCATCGGTGTCGTCGCCATTAGACGTGCTGACCAGCGTCGACCTCCTCTCCCCCGCGGGCGAGCGTCGTATGTGGGACCAGCTCGAAGTGGATCGTCCATTTCTTGTCTTAGTGACGCCCATGTGTACAGCCTTCAGCGCGCCTCGGGCATCTAAATGGGGCGGATGGATTTCTTCAGGGAGGAGAAAGAACGCCGTGACTTACGGGTCATACAGCTTTGCATGCGTGTTGCCGAGTGTCAGGTCTCTCGAGGGAAACTATTTGGCTTGGAACATCTGGCGTCGGCGAGCTCGTGGCATCTGGACTGCGTGCGTGTTCTCTGCGAGAGTCCCGGTGTCTAGAGACCCTCCCTCGATGAGTGCGTGTGTGGGCTGTCGGTCGGGGATTTCGGGCTGGCCGATGGTCAAGAAATCCGCGTGCATTCTGTCCGGCTCGGCCGCCTTGCTTGCCCATTTCCCCCGCCAGTGCTCTCGTGACCAGTGCGGTTTCTTTTGATCGAGGGGGCTGGGGCTCGCGCGGCGGAGAGGTTCCTGGTGGAGCTCATCTGCAGTCTGTCACCACCCACCAAACCACCCCAACCCAACCCGAAGGCTTAAATTTACCCTCGATTTCCAGTGTGGGGGGGTCGAGAAACATCGAAAAAACACATTAGGAACCCTTACCCCCCCAACCCGAAATTCGGGTCTTCGGGTTGGGTTGGGGTGGTCTGGTAAGTAGTCAGCCTGGCATCCAGGGTGGAGGATGGCGCGTGGGCGCTGCACTGCCGCTCGACTTCGAACGGGCCCCTGGCCTCGTTCTGCAGGCAGGGATGGGATGAGGAGGTTGTCACAAAAAACCGGTTGTCACAGAAACTAAAAACAAACAAGAACCAGTTGTCATGCAAAACAATGACAACCGGATGAGGTTCGGGCTGTTCCTTTGGAGGAGCGCGGCCCCGAGGTCTCCAGGGCTGAGTCCCAGCTATGGGCATCATTTTCCTGAGATCACTTCGGATTTCTTGGATGGGCCGCCCCTGGCACGCGGAGCGCGCCAGGCAGGGGGGTCCAGCGCCGATCCAAGAAGTCCGCAACGACCTCCGAACGTTTCTGTTTATACAGCTTTTTGCTCCTCCAAAGGAGGAGGACGAGGAAGGCACAAGTGTATTGCATTATGGCTTCCCAGAGCAGGCTTTTCTCGCAGTTCTTGGTGGAGTCTGGCCCTGGCGTAGGCACAATGGATGCCACACTGAAATCTCTTATCCTCCGATGGCTCCAGGGACCCACGGAAGCTCTGGGGCCCCCTGGGACCCTCAAAGATCGACGAAGGCTGTGCCCCAAGACTTCTTCTAACAAGGCTTATTATCGTATCCTTACTGGGGCCCACGGTCGGAAGACGATCTCTGATCGTTGCTGCCGGTCTGGCCATCCAGCCCATCGTCCCACGGAGCGGCAGCCGTGGTCGAGATCTCGCCCGCAGAAGGCCAGCAACACCACGACAACGGCGACAACCGCGGCAACATCGACAACCACCACTGAGCTCGTCGACGTGGGCGGTGCCGGGAAGGACAGCAGCCTTGATGATGATGATGATCATCATGATGATATTAATGATGATGCTGATGATGCTGATGATGTTGATGTTGATGATACTGTTGATGTTGATGTTGCTGTTGCTGATGATGCTGGTGCTGCTGATGATGATGCTGATGTTGATGCCGTTGCTGCTGCTGATGGTGGTGATGATGATGATGATGGTTATGATGATGTTGATTTTGATGTTGTTGCTCCGTAGTGATTGTGATGATGATGCTGACGATGGCGATGATGCTGCTGATGATGATGCTGATGTTGATGCCGTTGCTGCTGCTGCTGATGGTGGTGATGATGATGATGATGGGGATGATGTCAGTGTTGATGTTGTTGCCTCTGCTGCTGATGGTGATGATGATGCTTATGATGCTGATGCTGATGATGACGATGTTGATGCTGTTGCTGCTGCTGATGCTGATGGTGATGGTGGTGATGATGCTGATGTTGGTGTTGATCTTGTTGCTGCTGCTGATGGCGATGCTGATGCTGATGATGATGCTGATGATGATGGTGCTGATGATGCTGATGATGCTGATGTTGATGCCGTTGCTGCTGCCGATGGTGATGGTGGTGATGATGATGATGATGTTGATATTGTTGTTGTTGTTGCGGCTGCTGATGGTGATGGTTATGATGGTGATGCTGATGATGATAATGATGATGCTACTGATGGTGATGCAGTTGCTGCTGCTGCTGCTGATAGTGACGGTGGTGATGACGATGATGATGATGATGATGATGATGATGATGATGATGATGATGATGTTGATATTGTTGCTACTGATGATGATGAGGATGATGAGGATGATGATGCTCATGATGATGCTGATGTTGATTCGTTGCTGTTGCTGTTGCTGCTGATGGTGACGGTGGTGATGATGATGATGATGTTGATGGTGTTGCTGCTGCTGCGCTTGATTCTGGTGCTGATGATGCTGATGATGATGCTGATGTTGATGCTGACATTGATTCGTTGCTGCTGCTGCTGCTGATGGTGATTGTGAAGATGATTCTGATGATGATGATGCTCATGTTGTTGACGATGCTGATGTTGAGGAAGATGCTGATGTTGTTGCTGCTGCTGATGATGCTGCTGATGATGTTGATGATGGTGATGCCATTCTGATGATAATGTTGGTGCTGATGATGCTGATGGTGATTCGTTGATGTTGCTGTTGCTGCTGATGGTGATGGTGATGATGCTGATGCTGCTGATGATGATGATGATGATGATGATGTCGATGATGATGATGATGATGATGATGATGATGATGATGATAATGCTGATTATGATGTTGATGATGATGATGATGGTGATGATGATCATGTTGATGTTGAGGTCGATGCCGTTGCTGCTGCTGCTGATGGTGATTGTGATGTTGCTGCTCCTGATGATGATGCTGATGCTGATGCCGTTGCTGCTGCTACTGATGGTGATGGTGATGGTGATGATGATGTTGATGATGATGATGATGATGATGATGATGATGATGCTGATCACGATTCTGATGATGTTGTTGATGATGATGCTGCTGTTGTTGCTGCTGCTGATGGTGATGGTGATGTTGCTGCTGCTGATTGATGATGCTGATGCTGATGCTGTTGCTGCTGCTACTGATGGTGATGGTGATGGTGATGATGATGTTGATGATGATGATCACGATTCTGATAATGTTGTTGATGTTGATGTTGCTGTTGCTGCTGCTTCTGATGGTGATGGTGATGATGCTGCTGCTGATTGATGATGCTGATGCTGATGCTGTTGCTGCTGCTACTGATGGTGATGGTGATGGTGATGATGATGTTGATGATGATGATCACGATTCTGATAATGTTGTTGATGTTGATGTTGCTGTTGCTGCTGCTTCTGATGGTGATGGTGATGATGCTGCTGCTGATGATGATGGTGATGATGATGCTGATACTGATGGTGATGGTGATGGTGATGCTGATGGTGATGATGATGTTGATGATGATGATGATGATGATGCTGATCACGATTCTGATGATGTTGTTGATGATGATGCTGCTGTTGTTGCTGCTGCTGATGGTGATGGTGATGTTGCTGCTGCTGATTGATGATGCTGATGCTGATGCTGTTGCTGCTGCTACTGATGGTGATGGTGATGGTGATGATAATGTTGATGATGATGATCACGATTCTGATAATGTTGTTGATGTTGATGTTGCTGTTGCTGCTGCTTCTGATGGTGATGGTGATGATGCTGCTGCTGATGATGATGGTGATGATGATGCTGATACTGATAATGATGATAATGATGATGCTGATGGTGATGCTGATGATGATTATGTTGATGCTGTTGCTGCTGCTGATGGTGATGGTGGTGGTCCTGATGATGATACGATGCTGATGATGGCGATGCTGATTTTGATGATGATGAAGACGGTGATGCTGATGAGGATGATGATGATGATGATGCTAATTTTGTTGATGATGTTGATGTTGTTGTTGCTGCTGATGATGATGAGGATGATGATGATGAGGATGTTGATGATGATGGTGAAGCTGATGATGATGATGATGATGATGATGATGATGATGATGATGATGCTGAGGGGGCGGAGGAGCAGGAAGAGGAGGACGAGGAGGAGGAAGAGGAGGAGAGGCAGGAGGAGGGGGGATGGGAGGGGAGCGACAACAACAACCACCACCGAGCTTATCGACGTGGATTTTGCCGGGAAGGACAGCAGGTTTGACGATGATGATGCTGATAGTGATGGGGATGGTGATGATGATGGTGGTGATGATGCTGACGATGATGATGATGATGATGCTGATGATGATGATGATGATGATGGTGATGCTGCTATTGATGCTATTGCTGCTGCTGGTCATGGTGATGATGGTGATGATGATGCTGATGACGATGATGACGATGATGATGATGATGATGATGAGGAGGATGAGGATAACGACGATGATGTTGATGATGCTGATGATGATGCTGCTGCTGCTGATGATGATGATGATGATGATGATGATGATGATCTGGAGGAGGCAGAGGAGGAGGAGGAGAAGGAGGAGGAGGACGAGAAGGAGGATGAGGCGGAGGAGGATGACGAGGAGGAGGGAGGGAGGGAGGGAGGGAGGGAGGGAGGGAGGGAGGGAGGGAGGGAGGAGGAGGAGGAGAAGGAGGAGGAGGAGGAGGAGGAGGACGAGGAGGAGAAGGATACTCTAAAGGGGTCCTAGCGGATGTTCCCCAATCATTGCTTGTACTGAAGGGATGCTAGCAAATGTTCGCTGAAAGTTTCTGGCCGATTGCGGTGTGCGGCCCGGTTCCCAGGTTCCCAGGTTCCCGATTCCCGGGTTCCCGGGTTCCTGGTTGCTGGTTCTAGGCCGATTTCGGTGGGCGGCGGAGATCCAGGGTTTTTGGGTTCCCAGGTTCCTGGTCGATCTGTCTCAAACGATCTCATTACCCACCTCCTTATCGATCTCATTATAAATGCCACAATGGGTTTCTTTATCGATCTCACAATCGATCTCATACAGATTGCACGAGCGATCTCACGACCGATCTCATTATCTGGATCCCGCAAAGGGGATGTGTGCCCCAGGGTGTGTGTGTGTGTGTGTGAATTCGATCGATACCCCCCTTCCCCCCTTCAGGGTCACCCCTTCTTTGGTGGATCCCGATACTATCGATCTCACTGAATCGAGTTCTCTATCTCTCTCACGACCGACCTCTCTATCGTCTTCACTATCGATCCCACTATCGATCTCACTATCGATCTCACTATCGATTTCAATATCCGTATCACTAGTTTTTAAACCATCCACTGATTGGGCTTTCTTTTTTGTTATTCAATCGCTTCGCTCATTCCGCCGGCCCATATTGCAGCATCACTGGCGCTTGCCTGCGTGCCCGGGGGGTATTTGGGGGGGAAGTGCGAGGTGTGCGAGAGGACGCTGGCGAAGGACAGCTTTCCGCGGTGCGGGCGGACGCAACAGAGGGGTGCTGAGCGGCATGTCCGGCGGTGCCTGGAATGCCACGAGTGTCCCGAGTGCAGGCAGGTGCTGGACAAGCAGTGCTTCTCGAAGGCCGAGAAGGTTTGCAGAGAGTGTAGCGCGCGTCTAACGTGCGAGGTGTGCGAGAGGATGCTGCCGAAGGACTCCTTTCCGAATGGCGGGCGGCAGCGGCAGCGGGGAGCTGAACGGCCTGTGAGGAGGTGCTTGGAATGCCACAAGTGTTCAGAATGCAAGCAGGTCTTAAACAGGAAGTGCTTCACGAAGGCCGAGAAGGCGTGCATACAGTGCGGCGCGGCAGCAGAGAAGTGCGAGGTGTGCGAGAGGATGCTGCCGAAGGTCTCCTTTCCGGATGGCGGGCGGCAGCGGCAGCGGGGAGCTGAACGGCCTGTGAGGAGGTGCTTGGAATGCCACAAGTGTTCAGAATGCGAGCAGGTCTTAGACAGGCAGTGCTTCACGAAGGCCGAGAAGGCGTGCAGACAGTGCGGCGCGCTGGCGACTTGCCCGTCGTGTGGGGCGACGAAGAGCCCGACAGAGTTCGACGCGGAGGTGTTGCGGCATGCGCGGAGACACGGCCGGGGCGCAGTATGCCGAGCCTGCAAGAGCTCCACGGGGCCCGCTGCGCGGAAGAAGGTGAAAGCAATGTAACCGACCCGGACGCAGCGATTGCTGGAAGACGGAGGGTGCGACGTCGGGTCGGCGGAGCGCTGAGCCATTGAGGGGAAAGTGAAACGACATGTAGGGGTGTGATTTGACGGATCCAGAGCAAGGAGGGCTGGAAGAAAAAAACCTTCGCTGATGCTCTGGCGGTTGGCCATATTGTAGCATCGCTGGCGCTTGCTCGCGTGCTCGGGGGGGCATTTTGGGGGCCTCCTGGGGCCGCTTGGGGGCTTCTTGGGAGCTTCCTGAGAGCCTCTGGGGGGTCTCTTGGGGCCTCTTAGGGGCCTCTTGGGACCTCCTGGGGGCTTCTTGGGGCCGAGGGCTGGAAATGTT